GCCAACGAAAATGACCGAAAGCGGTAATGGAGAAAGTGGTGGGACTCGATGGGCGGAGCTGCCGTGTGGTGATGTTGCTCGCTCCTCTTCCCTGAGCGGTTTTGAGGAAAAAGATCCGCTCGGCGTTCTGTGAGAGAGGCTCGGTCCGCTTTGCTTTCCCGCCTATCTTTCGGTGGGCGAAAGCCGAGAGACGAGCAAGCCCAGTTCTCCCCAGAACCGCTGAGGCAGCGCTTCGTCAGGGCTCAGCTCGCCCTTGCCTTTCCCGACGAAAAGCTGGCGCAGCGAGGGAGAGGGCAAATACTGTGTGGAAATGTGGGGGCGGGTGCATAATAGTGGTGGCCCCGCGCACGGTTTGCTTGAATTTCATAGCCTTGTCCTGCCACAGAAAAATGCTGCCCAGCGGGGAACATCTGCTGAAATACTGGCATGGGGCGGGGCCCACCATGTTCTCCATCCGCAGGTTTTTACTTACTGTTGTAAACGGCCCAGAGAGCTTCGACTACGGTACGAGTATAGAATTGAAATAAATAAATCCCTCCAACATGTCAGAACATAAGTGAATTAAAGGAGCGATCCGGTGTATGTTTAAGTGGGGGAGGGAGCCCTACAATTGCCACAATTCCCCAGTTAGCAAGGCTGACCAGAGAATACTGGGAGTCGTAAGGACTTTTTCTAAACTTGCAGGGGTTGCACCGAGTCTCTCGTCTGTTAAAGATTTGCTTTTAATAGAATGCATCTAAGTCATACAAGTGTTACTTTAAAATAAGCTATACTTTTGTTTGAATTCCTTGGTCATCACCCACCCGTGGACTGTCATCAGGATGCATTCCTCAGTTCTATCTTCCATTGCATTCTTTCTTTCTAGTCTCGTAGGACACTGGCACCATTTTCAACCATTTTTCCTGAGAGTTTTTGTCAGAGATTAGGCTCCTAGACATCACTGCAGTTGGTTAGGCTGCCTATTAAATGTAAATTAAGTTTGTTTTCCCCTGCCCTGGTGTTTTGTTTTTGATGTTGTTTTTGTTGGGGGGTTTTTTGGCGGGGGGTTGAATGGCCACAGAAAATGCCTAAAACGGAGAAGCATATTAAAACCTTGGCTTTCATTACCTTTAATTGTAAATTCCAATCACAGGAAGGTGTACAGTTCAGCATTCTGTCCCATTCCAACTAATGGTGATCTGTATATTCTGCACATTCACTAATCCATAGAAAATAGTAAATGGTCCATCTTCTCACTCATAGCATCTACACCGAGGAGATAATGCACATCCAAAGAAAAGGCCAAAGAAATACAGGTGAACAGGTGGTCATCCATTGCTTAGATCAGTAATTCCCCGTTAATGGTCCTGCCCCCCTAGGAACAATGGAAAGATCCAGAGCAGCAATGATTGGCTGCTTTAAATTTGCAGTAGAGCAATAGACCTAATACAAAGAAAAAAGGATGGAGGCGCTAGGGCTGTTGCCCAAGAGGAAAGGGGACAGCAGCCCAAAAAGGTTGGAGACCACTGGATTAAACAAACACATGTGCATCTTTAGTCCACAAACTTACTTTGAAAATTCTGAATTAGTATTGCTTTCTCTTGTAAATTTTTTAAATGCAAACAATAAAAGCGAGGGAGAGGGAAGTATATGGATAAATGTACAATGTATAGGTTGTTAATGTACATTCAAAGGAATTCAAGAGAGCTGTCTGAAGACAATGGTGGGGCAAGGCTAGAAATGCAAATATGACTTATGTGTAACACCTGCTCATCAGTGTAGTGGCATTGCGCTACAGTCCTGGAAATTATACATCTGTATAGCTCCCTCTTGAAACATCTCAAATTTCTACTATGCTCTGTAAGGGAAAAGGAAAGGGTATGGCAAAGACTTCACTGGAATAGTAATACATTTGATACTACTAGACTGGTTTTTCAGCTTTCAAGAGGAATCATAATACCACTTTAGCGGATGATTTGCAGTAGATTGCAACCATATTTATGGTGCCATTTTGGTATTCTCTTTGTTTGTAAATGTAATAGGCAGCTAGCCTCAATAACATTCAGCACACTATTTGCGCTGGCTGCTAAAGCTTAACTATTGTTGTCTCTGTTTCCTGTTCCCAAGTAGAATCTAATTTAACTTTCATGGCTTATATTGGCATGCTTGACAGGTTATGAACATTCACACTAAACTTTCCAAGTCAGTATGCAAAAATGTCAGAAGACAGTGAGAGCAGCCATAGACACAAATTCAAGCGGGAACACAACCATTATTTTTATTAGGACCAATCCTGATTTACAATGATACTCGAGCATTCAAGTTGAGGGCACTGTTGCACTCACATCCTGCTTGTGAGCTTCCAATAGGTAGCCATTTGGCTGTGTGAACAGAAATCCGGACTAGGGGTCTTCAGTCTGATTCAGCAAAGCTCTTATATTCTTTACAGCATTCATCATCAGGCACTGTGTTGAAGAATAGCTTCTGTCTTGGAAAAAATACAGATACCACATTTCACTATACCAGAAGAACTGCATTTCTGTGTTCAGTTATCAAGGACTCATCTCCACAGATTTTTACCATTACTTAAGCATGCATAGCATGGATCTAGAAGAATCCCACAGTTGCCAACTGTTTAGGATGGTGTCTGGTATTTCTGCTTTTCTTCTGTACCTACAGTGTTAAACTTGTGCAAGTGACCTAATCTTTCTACAATGACCAATACCACAGAATCCAGATTACTACACATAGGTACAACGCTGAGTTTACATGCAGTTTAACACTGATAATATCTAGACTGAGCTGACAATCTCTAGATTAATTTGAATACAACTGTTGTTTGTTCAGTTAACATATTAGTTGCCAATGGCCTTTCTATATCAATTTGGAGCTGTATAATTACATGTTTTTAAAAACAACTCCACAGAAGTGTAAGGTTATTCATTATTGAAAAACAAAGTTAAATAGACCCACTGAAATTAGCAGAGTAATCTAAACTTCAACCACAGAGAGGCATATATTAATCTAGTGGAATGTTCTGTTCTTCAAAGATGTCTCCTGCTATACCACCAGAAAAAAAATTCCTTGAATTTCAAAAGCATTTTGCCTTGTGGCATGGTGGGGTGGTGGTCACCAAGCAAGCATCTCTCAGTCCATCTTGGGCTCATGGAATTCGCTTCCCTATCCAGAAGAAATTGAGTTCCGTTTATCTGAGGGGACTTCAGCTTTGCATTTCTTTAATAGCAATTCCTCCACACCACTTTTAAATCTAACAGGACATTAGTGACAGTGTCTACTTTAACTATTGTTGACTTTTAGCATGAGTGCTAAACTATCCATTATCTAGCATTAAGAGGCAAATAGCACAATTTCCATGGAAAATATAATGCCCATTTTTTCCAATTGCATAACGGGTTAATTGTATTCACCTCAAAGATGTTCAAAATACTAGAGTTATGTCAGGCAACACCATCATTAGAAGGACTGGAATTTCAATACTTCTATTAAAGCCTATTCAACTTTCCCAACATCTACCACATTCCAAACCCTCCACTTTTATTCCCGTTTCTTCTATCATTTGAGCATATGGCAGGCCAAAATTAAATCCTGCCAACAATGCCAAAGCTTAAGGAAAGGTTAGGGGTTCTCCAGAAGCTGTATAGAAATTCAGTCTGCTACTTACTTCCAGAGGTCAAGCCAGCCAACTGCTCCCATGCAAATAAAAATTGGCAAACTGTCTCACCTCTAATTCTGGCACTAAAAGCTGATCTATGGAGGCAGTCTTGATGGTCCTTCATTGTTTAGTCTAAAGCCAATGGCTTTTTAAAACTAGAAAGCACTATTGTGCCTATTGTTTGACTGGTAGCAATATAAGCAAGATGAGAATTGGATGTGAGCTTTTGAAGGACCCAGTTATTCTACAGAAAACAGGAACTTGAGAAAATTGCTCGGATACCAGATTGATAAAGATTAACATGATTAGCACTGGAATGCACTTCAAACCAAGTCTATTTTGGCAGAAACCATGTAAATGCAGTTTCAGAGAAGCCCACATATCTTTGTCAGAAATAAAAGAAACATACGGTACATGCAATCCTATGCATTTTTAGACAGAAAAAAATTATACGGTCCATGAACTGTTTAATAACCAAAGGAATGCACCCAAATCCACCCAATCAAGCCAACCATCAAATATAGCACCAACACCCTCTTGCATTAACTGCATATGTTGAGAGGTTTGAAGGTAAAGTCTTTAAATAACACTTCCAAAGAGTAGGAGTGAAGTGAATGTATAAATTCACTCCTGGGCAACAGCTAATCAGTACTGTCAGACTGAGATACAGCACATTTCTGCTAAAAGAAATGAGTCACATCATATACTATTTTTTTAATCAACCTGCAGAGATAATTTACATCAAGAGATTTATGCTCAAGGGATCAGGATGTATAGTGGGGATCTTGGAGTTGTAGCAAAAAGATTTTTCTTACAGATGGGATGGGCTATACTCATGCTTAGGGCCCAATTTTTCTTTGGTGCCAAAAAGATTCTAAATCCTAGCCCAAATCAAATGACTAGTGACCCAGCATGGCACTTAATGACCGGATTTACACAATCACCATGGCTTTAATTAGCCAAAGCAGCTGGGTATGATTTGCCTAACATGACTAAATTTGCCATTTACTTGCTTAGACATGGTTTGTCCAATCATCTGAATCTGAATGGCATGGTTTACTGGAAGGGCATACAACTCAAGAAAAGACATGGCACGCATCAGAACTTAGATAAAGTAGTGTGGTTATTTAAGCAATGTTTGTGCAAACCTACCTGCTCTCTCGGCCCACCTTTCAGGAGTGTTTTGACTTGGCTTTGACAGAGTTGGAAAGGCAAAGTGATGACTATTGATGCAAAGTGCTGACTTGCCTTCTAGTTCAGTTTTAGATCCATCTTTGGTTTGAACCTATGATCATTTATAACTGCCCCATGCTATGCAGTACTCACTACAGAAGAGTAGCTATTGGTAGAAGGTACTAATTATGAATATTTAATGATGACAGAGCAGCTTACAGTAGCACATGGTAGAAGTCACAGCAACCAAGCTACTTAGAACATATGAATTTAACAGATCATCTAGCTTACAATTTCAGTAAGGGTTAAAGGAACAGAATACAACATATTTGATTATCCAGATTATGGCCATGTGTGACAGCTAGTTTCTCTCCATAGACTTCAGTTCATTTCCAGACATCAATTTAAGCAGGATAAATGCATGCAGTGTTTTCTAAAACTATTGCTCTTAAAGATTTTGTGACAGGATCTGGACAGTGAAGACAATGGGATGTGTATCAACTTCCCAGTGTGACTTTTTCCATGTTTGAGCATGCATATTCATCACTGTATCACTGAAAACCGAAACCAGCATATGTGAAGTTAGAATTGCACATACCAGTTTCTAAAACTAAACTGTATATTAGGTATTTTCCACACCAACATATAGGTATTTATCAAAAACACACCTTAATAATATTTCCCTTAGGAAGTCAAATATTCTGCTTTAGCTGTACACTTCTAGTGTTGACACAGGAACAGTTCGTTTCATTTTTTTTTTTCAGAAGACAAGTTATCTTCAGAAGTTATTTGAAACTCTTTCAAATGAAAAGCAAAGTGAATTTAAAACAAAACGTATATAAGAGTAACAGCTTAGTTCCTGCAAATTTTAATGACCTACAAAAAGAAAACTGTTGCAGTCAAGTTATTTTCACTATTTTAGTTTAACTGGGGGAAAAAAACATTACATGAGGAAGCAATGATATAAGGACAAGAGAAGTTTTATCAGCAAGTTTTTTTAGTGATTATCAAATGAAAGAGGCCAAGTTCATGTGTGTGACATAAGAAACTGAAGCAGTTGAATATTTTAGGCATGTCAAACTTACTCATAGAAATAAGTGTAGAAGAAGTTCAACATTCCAGCTCAATTTTTGTACCTAAGGTATTAAATCAATTATTTGCCAAAAAAAATTCAAAAAAAGGATCTAAACCTCAGAGCAAGCCAACAGAATGGCCATAACCTAGCAGAGAAAAAAGTGAGCAGTAACTAGCTTGTATCTTTTCACCGGTATTCACTTCACAATCACTGACAAGACTAATGTACATATTTCTGCACCTGCACTTGTAAAAGCAGATAAAATATTTAATATGTAATTTACAATTTATTTTACCAGCATGGAGTACAGGATGAATATATCAAAGTAGTCAGACAGTTATAGGTCAATGCCATCCCTGCAAAAATAGTATCCAGGTATCTGCTAATTAAAAAGAAATCAATTTGCAATTTTGAAGTGATACAGTTCCATCTACCACAAAATACAAAGGGCTGCAAAAAATGTTTCATTCCAATAGTGTATATAAGTTATTAAATAATGATCTCATTTAAAATATAAATGAAGCCATAAGTCTTTTCCACATGCAATATTATTCGTTATTAAAGAAATATGTAAAAAGGCCATTGGTTTGCTTTGTTAACCACTGTAGAAAAAGCCAATTCTCAGGTCACATACTCCACTAGTTTAGCACTTAATGGTACTGAACTGTTACAAATGATTTTAAATACTGTTAATTCCGGCTCTCCACTGATAAAGAATGAGACTTTGAATATGGCAGTCTTCACTAAGGAGGCAAAGATGCACAGTCTTATACAATTATCCAGATGAGCAGCAACCTCCACTGCTCTGAGCTGCTGGTTCATCGTCAATTATCTGTACTCCCCGCCTTGCAGCTGCTGACTGACTGGAACCATTGCCTCGTGCTCTCTCATCAACTTGTGCTGTTTCTATCATTCCTAGGGTTGAAGGATATTGCATTAGGCTGGATGACACTAAAAATTTTCATTCGTAACAGCAAGTTGAATCACACCGGTAGGTTCAGCACATTCAGAAGTACTGCAGTTTTTCAAAATAATGCTTTTAACATGTGACATTTGTAAGCTAAGAATCACAACACTTCAACAGAAAGGTAGTTTTACATACCCAGAAGGTTATTTGCCCAATAGGGGACAACAAGTATTAGCCATCCCATCAACATGCATTAGTGATCCAATGGGAAATCTGAGATAGAAGTGATAGTAAATGGGACCTGTCTAGTTACCATTTTATTGCAGAGACCTCAGATTATTCAAGATCAATCTATTTGTTTGCAACTAGCAAAATATTTCTGTATTTTTAGTAGTATCTTCAAATGTATGTTACATTTATATCCCACTTTTCACCCAAGGAGCTCAAAGCAGCATACATAATCAACCTCCTCCTCTCCATTTTATCCTTACAACAATCCTGTAAGGTAGGTTAGTGATCTGCCCAAAGTCATCTAGTGAGCTTTATGATTGAACGGGGACTGGAACCTAGCATCTTCCAATTCTAGTCCTATATTCTAACTACACCACAGTTTTGGTCAGTGCAGAAGATTCTTATTGACTTAGCTGAGCAATGGCAACATATGGTCTTATTAACAAAATGCAGGCTACAGATATTAAAGACCATCAGCTGGGACCAGAGGACCCCATAAATATGGATGCTGTATGAAACAGAATGTGAGGTACGGCACATTATTCCTCCCTGCCCCAGAAGTATTCAAGCTCCATTTTTGTCAAGTTTTACAATCTGGAAAAATGAAGGAAAAAGCTCCTGGGTCAAGACAGCATAGTGGCAAATAATTAAGTCTCAACATCTTAAAATGCATGTAAGTTTTACTACAGAACAAGAATTAACAGTAAAGCAAAGAACTGTTTTAAAATATAGCATGTAAAAAAGGTAAATTAGTGCAGTCACATTAGTAGCTGCTATTTAAAGTTATAGCTCAATTTTAATTGATAATACGAACTGAGCATGCAGTAAAATTCCATGCACAAACTACTCAAAACTGCATAATGGCAATCATTCATAGAGCTAAATTATGAACTTTGACAGAAAATCCTATTCTGGTTAAAGTATTACAGAATATGACTCATATCACAGATTTTTTGAAAACTTGTTGCATTTGTGCAGCATCTTACAGAACGTATTGTTCAAAACTTATGTTTTTAATTTCACTGCATTGAGTTGCCCAACAAATCTATAAATACAAAAAAGCTTACTTTTACAGAGATCAAGAAAGAGTTCTTCTATTCCTTTGTTCTGTTTGGCTGATGTGTGATAGTGTTTTGCTCCCACTGATTCGGCATACCTGCAAAAATGGAAAGCCTTTAGCATCTCACTGAAAAATCAGAGTATACATATTATCCTATACTGCAATGAAACATCAAATGCAATATTTAGATGCCTTCAAGTATCTAGCAGAGAGGCTAAATGCAGGTGCAATTGCAGGAAGTGCCCTGATAAAAGCTATTATTTAAAATATGCTCAAGATAGCTAACAGTAAAATACGCATCAAAATAAAAGAAGGCAGGTGAAAAAAAGTCAAAAAGGCTGGCAAAAACTACAACCAGATTAACAAAATGAAGCATATTAAACAGTCAGTTGACAATTGGAATATGAGGCTCTAGGCTTGTCTGGACAAAAATGTTTTTCCCTGCTGAAGAAAGGTCAGAGAAGGCGCTATCACAGGTGGGCCACTTGTGGCAAACAACTAGTGATCCTGGGAGCTATAAACCAAAATAAGAAGGCCACAAGTTGCTCATCCCTGGGCTGCACAGAGCTCTCTTGGCAAGGACCTCCAGTGACAGCAGCCACACCTCTGCAAGACTTAAACCACAGAAGTTTAGCAAAGAGAAAGGATAAAAGGATCAAATAGATTCAGAACATCTTTTTGTATCAAGAAGGCACTGAGTAATTTCAGTATCTAGAGAGTTCCAACCCAGACTTCTACAACAGAGCCAACCCTGTCTTAAATTTATAAACCAATGTTTCCCTCACATGCCTGGTTACAGATACTGGTAACCATTTGCCACTCCCAAGCTCCTGGTAACTCAGACCACAGATCTCAAGAAATAGATGTTTCTCCACAATCAGGAAAAAACATGATTAGAAGTCACTAGTGACTGTTCAGAAGGTTTAATGCCCTCTATAGTCAACTACATATTGTGTAAACTTAAGCAGTACCACTGCTTGCCTAACACATGATATCGTCTTCAAAGTACTGTTGAAATTTAGAAATTTTAACTTACGTTTCTGCTTCTTGAATAGACACATGTCTCTCCTTTTCCAAATCTATTTTGTTACCTGTCAGGAATTCAGAGTTACTTAGTAAGCAATCAGAAGTCACCATCTTCACAACATCTACAAGCTGTTTACAACCATCACTCTTCTGCCTCTACACCCACTCAATTTTTACCAGATTACACTGATTAGCTGTTCCCAAGACCATTTAGGCATGTATTATATTGAGACCTTTCTGTGGTTCCTTATACTGACAGCAGTAGTGAAGGGCATGAAATGCATTCTTGCTCATCCCACACAATTCTTGCTACATCCCTACACCAAACTCTTCAGTTATACAGTTATGCAGTTATACAGGAAGCTGTGGTTATTACACCACATATAAATTTACAACTAAGCTTAATTTTAAAGAGATGAAGAAGCTTTTGAATATCATAATCCTCGTTGAGGAAGTCCTTCACCAGCCTAAATACTGCTGTCAAGGAAGCTTGCAGCTTGTTCCTAAATAGGTTTTGTACTGATGTTTCTTAAAGACAGATAAACGTCTAATAAAAAAAAAAACTTCATGTTCAGAAATTTGCCATCTTCTGCTCAAAGTTTTCATATTGCTTTTGCCATTGTACCTTCCACTTTTCCAATTGTGTATATGTACTATCCCTCTGCTGTGCTACAGTAAATACAACCAGCAGAAAAATAGCTTTTATGCAAGCTTTAGAAAAGTACTGCTAGAAGTGATGAGCAAACATTTAATATGCAAGTTAGTATTTAAAGAAAACAAACAGGATTCCCCAGCAATTTAATAATATGTTAAAACCAAAAGCTTACCAACTATGCATAGACAAATTTCATTTCCCAACATTTTTCTTAATTCCTTGACCCAATTTTTTACCTGCAAGGATAAAAAAAAAACTGTTACTTTTTATAATTAAAATAAGCCTTAGGTGACAAAAGGATACTTCTCTTAACACAAGCAGGGGGAATTCTTCTAGTTTCCTAACTGAAGGCCATGAATGTATGGTTTCAGTGAGGGTATCCCTAAGACCATATGATTGTTTAAATCTCTCTCTTCAAGGATGGAAAGCGAAGCCTTACGAAAAAGTAGAGAACCAATCTCTGAATGGGAAGGGAATAGTAAAAACAATAACTGACATGAAAATATTTAAACATGTCTCTCTTCCACCCAGCTTAAGTTGGCAGAGCTTTGGATCTCTTGGAGGCAATAACATTATAGTACTCTCTGCAGCAGCAGGCAGGATTGACCTGCAACGCTGCAATCCTTTACACCCACCTATTTGGAAGCAAGTCTTAATGAACTCCCTGCAATCCCCTTACAGTAACATCCTACTCATCTTTGCTCAGAAGAAAGTCCCATTAAGTTCAGTGTTTACTGTTAAGCAGAGATGTATAGGGTAATAGTGCAGGGAAATTTGAGTAAACTGTACAATCAACTTAAGTTTACAGCACACATACTGAAGTCATTTGCAAAGCCAAAAAGATAGAATATTAATTTGAACACTGTCAACCTGGCAGTTCACATGTAGCAAACTTGAAGCTTTCATGTTTGGAAAGGTTACAGTTACCTTCTGAAAAGAGTCTTCATCTGTTATATCATACACTAAAATTGCTCCATTAGAGTCTCTGTAGTAAATGGGACCCAGTGCATGAAATCTTTCTTGCCCTGCTGTATCCTGCATGTAGCAAAGATATGTAAGTTAATTTTCACTTAAACTACTAGAAGCAAAGTCATTGCTATTTGCTGTGGTAATTTGTATTATTTTTAGGCACGTAAGAGACATGTTGGTTCAGATCAAAGACCTGTGACCCATTATTCTAGTCACAGAGTGTCCAACACCTATAGGAAGCTCACAAGTAGAATATGAAGGCAAAAGCACTCTCCCACTCATGATTCTGAGCAGCCAATATACAATATACTGCTTCTGACAGTAAATAGCAAGTTTGACAGGCACTTACCCATATTGCAAGGTTTACTCTTTTTCCTCCAATATTTAGCTTCTTTGTTAGAAAAGATGCCTACAAAGAACACACACACACATCAGTTTCTGTGATAGCCAAGTTATGCCAAGTAACAATAATGTATTTTTAAAAGTCAATGTTTTGTAGCCATAAGAGTGCATCTGAGGGCATTTTACCAATAAACTGCTGCAAGAAAAATATTTTAATCGAACCAAACTAAGGACAAGAGGTACACATTTTCCTTCAATTAAGAAAGTCCGTTATCATATAAGCTAATCATAATATACCTACAATGTTTCCTTACCTGCTTAAAAGGCTAATTCATATTGATTCTAAAGAGCACACATGTGTTGAATAGCCAATTTTTTGTTTAATATATGGCTACAGCAGCTAGAGAGAGACTAGGTAAAATTGGTACTTGAGAGACTGGTACTGAAAATACATGCTTATTATTCACAACGTATGTCATATGCCTATTTACTTGGGACCACAGCAAATACACACAAATCCATATGAAGTTCTGGATAAAAAGTTTGACCAAAAATGTTTGTTTGCACCTTCCATCCTTCATTTTTTCCAGGAATCAATTGAAAATTATTGGTGATGGGGGGGGGGTTCTATAACCCATTCTCTTTTAGAATGAACAGATGCATCTTAAAGCAAAGGAGTAAATGGTGGTTTTAGTATTTCATTCCTTCAAAATGGCTAATAACCAGGAAACTGCAGGCCTTAACAATATATAGTCTGTAAACTGAGAAACAAAAATTGCTTTCTGAGTTGAAATGGCAATGATTGTGGGATTGATGGGGTTTCTTGGGGGGGGGGTTGCTTTTTGTTGTGGCTGGCCAGTGAGGTTGTACAGGTTCATCTGTTTTAAGATTATAGTCTAATCTCCACAACACTATTAACACAAATCATTTGTCTTTGTTTATTATAATATTGACAATTTCTGTTTTAAGTTCCATTTTCCTGTTTTCCAAAATGGCAAAACCCAAGATGTTTGGTATATCAAAGCAGAGCAGCTAAGCTCCATTATATTAGGTTTATTTGTAATTACTACTTGAACAAAAGCAAAGGATCCATACTTTAAATGTATTAAATATGCAACATGGTATAACTTTGTACACTAATTCATATATAATGTTTTTACATTAAAGTAATAAAGTAAGCTTAGACCAAATATGAAAATATTACCTACTTCAATTTATCCCAAATTGGCATTACATGTCTCCACCTATGAATTTACTAGGGCTGTCCAATATAGTTGCTGTGTTGCAATAATGCAATTTTACCTAATATATCATCTTAAATTAGAAGAATGTGTGAAGGATATGTTTCCCTAGCCAAGGAAACGCCTTGCCTCTCCTGGAATTAATCACAGAGCAACCTGAGAATACATACATGGCCACTCAGTACTGTGGATTGATGACTGTTTACTTGTTGAAATAGAAATTGCCTGTCTTCCCGTCTCTTTCCCCTAATATTGTGGCTAGAAGAGGGAGAAGGCCCATACTTGCAGTATTCTGTCAGAGGGAAACATTCTAATATAGATGCGGTTTTGTCTCTTTCTTACTAAAAGAAAGCAGCACACTGCAAATCTACTACAACATCCTGTGGATATTATTTCAGAGAACGGATGTCCATAAATTAATTCTAAGAAGTGAACTTCAACATCAGATCATACCACCATATTGAATCTTGTAACATGATTTCACAGTCCTACAAGTTACTTAGTGATTTTGCAGCAACTGCACCTCAACAAAGTGCAATGTATAAAACAGATAATTCACATACATCGATGTGTATGTACTGCTGGTCTAAGAATTATGATACAGAAAGTTTGCCTGTTTTAATAAGGATTTTTTTAAAGGATATGATCCAATAAAATCCAAACATTTCAAAACAGATACACTATTTGCAACAATAATTTCCAACTCTACAAGATCTACCACTACTTATATTTATGATCTCATTTTCCCTAAATATTTGTGTTTGACGGTGATTAGAAATAGTTACCAAAGTCCTCAAGTTATTTTTGTGTAGAAGCACTGAAAGTCCATTTTGAGCCTAAAGAATATGCTCCACACTCTTGGTGTGCTTATGATTCACAAACAATATGTTTTCATATAATAAAATGTGATAGTGTGCCAGTGGTCATGACTGGTGGGGATGGGACAGTTAGGTTCAACTCCTGACCTTGGGCCAAACTCTCTCAGCCTAACCTGAGGGTTCCTGTGGGGAAAGAGAATCATGTAAACCTCATGGAGCTTTTTAGAGGAAAGGGAGAAATTGACAAAAGCTAGGTTTCAGAAAAGAGAAACAGATGGGCCCCAACTTTTCTATTTTAAGGAAGAGTGAAGCTCTGACCTACCTGAGGCAATATAAACTCGAAGTAAGTGCAGACTATCTTCCCACTTCCATGCCTAGAGAAAGGCACATCTTAAAAAGCAGCTGCAAGTTTTTAGGGTTTCATTACTTCCCTACTGGCATCAAAGTATCACTAATTGTTCAGAACAATGCAGGTATTCTGCCAACCTGACAAGGAAATGAACTTTCCCTGCTGACACCGAGAAATGGGAGATCCTAACAAGCCACCTTATCGGCTTTGCAGACCTGGGAAGCCTGGGAAAAAATACTGATTGCCCGCATATTTTTTTCTCTTTTTTTAAATAAGTTTTATTTGAAATTATAATCCTAAAAAACAAAAAGAAAACTACAAACAACATCCATCATCAAAAACATCAAGCCCGCTGGGTCAGCCCCCACACCCTTCTTTTTGATTGATTGCCCGCATATTGATAGGAGAGAACAGGTTAACCCTCTTGTCATCAGCTAAGGAAATGTGTAAATTTGGGAGCAGTGTTTCTCTACTCTTCTGCAGAAGAATCAATGGTACATTCTCTTGTTTTGTGTAGAAAACAGGGCCAGAACTATTCTAGTAGTTTTGCCAAAATTTAATGCCAGACCTACTGTTATCCTGTTTCCTTAAGCAACTGCCATATTTAAACTTACATGGAACACATTGCTTAGTTGATAGCTTGCAACCACTACCTTGAAAGACCAGATTTAATTGCGGAAAGTACTGAAAGCCTGATAAGTGAACAGAGCAAACTATAATATTCTAATGTTACAAAGTCATCTGTTTCCCTTCTCAGGAAACATAATGAGACATAAAGTCTTGCTTCCAGAAGTATTCTGCCTCCTAAGCAAATGGCCTTGTTTAGTGTCCTTAGATGCATACATTAATCACACATTCCTCTGTAGCCTGACTGTATATAGACTTAATTTCAGTGTGATCAATAATTCCCAACTCTGCATATAAACTTCTCAATACACTCAAGCTATGTCTTTATACAGACTGCATATGAACTACCACAACAGGCACCTCATATTATCACCTAATAGAAGGTAGTTGGTTGTAAAACATATTTAAATGGCATATTAGCCATATCATAAACAGTTCAGTACAAAGTGAAAGTCCAAAAGGCAATTTTAAAAATGCATGTCTAATTTCACAATATTGTGTTAATGAACAGAATATATGAATGCATGCAAGAATACAGAAGCATACAAAAAGAATGCAATCATAAACAAACAGCCCAAACAGTTTAGGGCTTTGCATAACTAACAGAATTTTATTGCTCTTTTGCTCATTTCTGTTTAGTATCCCATCCCTTTGGTCAAGCTCATAGTTTTTCAGAAAGAGCATGCAGCTATAGTTTCTCATTCTCATTCTATTCCCACCAACACTGACTTTTCATTCTTTTGATACCCAGAGTTTGGGCTCCTTTGCCCAGAAAACTCTGTCAATGCAAACTCTCACTCATTCCTTCAAGACAGCTATCCCTTAAAATTAGAAAAACAGTTCAGAGTCAGACTTATCAGATACAACAACACTTGGAGTGAAGTCATGATAATGAACACTGATCCCCAATGCCTTACACACACACACAGACCTGATGTGTTCAAACTGCAGAATAGTTCTGTTCGTCACCACATGGATATGTGCACATGATGTGGCACAGTTTTACCATGGTGGACAAGAATGCAGTTTGCCAGATGCATGTCCTGTATCTGGTGAAGTGGGCTCCAAACCAGTGATGCTTATACCCCAGTAAATATGTATTTAATATACCACAAGACTTTTAGATCTGTTTTGATAACCTGCTGTATACCTCTTCCTATATAACTGCTCTTTGTTTTTGTTTAGGAATTGTCCTTAAATTCATTACTCTTCAGTGATATAGCTATGCTTTGAGGATTAAGATCCCCCAGAAATATTACGCTTCGGGTTTTGTTGTTGCTCTGTTCTAAGCCTATTACTTCCAAAAGATTGTTTACCAGCGGTATTATGACAGAAGCAGTAAAAAAACAAAACACAGCCCACTCAAGAAACTTGTGCACGACTGATCCAAGCGCCACCCCTCACTATATAACCCGAAACAAACGAACCAAAAAAAAGGGTAGCATTTAAAGCGGATTGAAGAATAGAAGCGTGCACTAAGGGTAACGTAGACGGGGCCTTGCAAGTCACCACCCCCAACTCAAGGAAGGCTACGGCTGTGCCTGCCTGAGTTTGCACACACCAGAAAGACCCCCCCCCCCCCCCCCCCTTCTTCCAAGGAAACCAACCGAGACTAGCGACGGGCCGAGCTCCGGGGAGGCCTCCCGCCGCCGGGACCTACCTGCAGGGTGGTGATGTGCTTGTCATTGAACTTGTTCTCGCAGTAGCGGAGAACCAGCGAGGTCTTCCCCACGCAGCCCTCGCCAAGCAGCACCACCTTGAAGGAGAAGCTTCGCCCACCGGCAGCGCCGCCGCCCGAGCCAGAAGTGGCCGCTGCCGTCGCCATCCGCAGCGAAGTGGTCGTCGCCGCCGCGGCCTCACATCAGCGACGACCGAAACCCCGTTCAACTTCCTACACGAGTGCGCCGCAGAAGGCTGAGGCCGAAAGGAAGGGGCCTCCGGGGCCGCACGCAGCCGCGCTCAGAAAGGCCCGGCGTGCGGGGGAGGGAGGCGGCTGGGAGCGGAAGGAAAGGCGGCAGGCAAGGCAGGAATAGGGCCACGCTGCCCTGCACCGCGGCGACTCACTCGGCCTCCCTCTAATGGCGGCGGCGTCTTCTTCCTCCTACGTCAGTCGGCGCGCGGTCACGCGACATGTTTGGTGGCTGAGGACGCTCCGGCCCTCCGAGCCCCGCCCCTCCTCAAAGAGAGGGAAGGCGGGTGGGGCAGCTGGAGAAAGAGCAGCCGCGTCTGGTCCGGGAACTTCTCGGGAGCTGGCGGGAGGGGAGGGGGCGCGGCGCGGCGCGGGAGCGCCGGCGGTGGCCGTGACAGGGCGTGAGCCGCGCCGCGCTCCGCCACAGGCCTGGCATGCTGCGGGGCCTGCAGTGTCATCGTCAGCTCGGCTTCAGGCAAAGACCTTATTCCCAGCCTCTACCAGGGTCTGGAGAGAAAGAGGCTCGCGACTCGCGCTTCCACATGTCCAGTACTGCAGCTGGGACCGGCCCTTGGTGCCAAAACCCAGGACTCTGCAGCCCAGCGGGAGCCCAAGGGAGCCCACCCCCTCCTGGAAAGCGGAGGAATTTTGCTGTATCAGGGTAGCAAAAGCCTACTCCATTTTTCCTACAGTCATGATTTGAGTGAGCTTTAAATTTATATCCTAACCATGCTTTAGCCTATTCCTTTCCCCCAGGGATGACAAGCATTCTAACATTGAGCACTTGCAAAGCATGGAGTGGCTGTTAGAAGGAAGAGATAGGATAGTTGTGTGCTTCACGGCCGAAGTAATACACAGGGTTAATTAAAGAGCCCCCACCCCTAAAATTGACTGCATAGAATTACCTAAATATAGCTTGGCTTCTGCGATTTTTGTCATAATACACATGAAGACAAATGGGCAAGTCCAGTATTATGGTAGTCCACAACCTTAACATAGTTAACCATAGGCTGTCACTTTTGTATAAAATTTGAACAGTGAAGTGCTTTATTTGCAAACTGAAAATCTGAAGTTTTCTGGGTAGCCTTTTGATTTTATCAGAGCAGAAACTTTGTAAAGGTTGCAAAGTATCTGGAAAAAAAATTACTATATTTAACATTGGTCATTATTTTTCCCTATCAATCCAGATTTCCTGGAGGCCAGGATGAGTTTCCAATTCTCCCATTCCCAACCCTAACATGATTTGTTAGTCTCACAACAACTGTGTGAAGTAGAGTCAGCTGGGAGTTATGAGTGTATTTGCACATTATACTAACCCACCCAGGCAATCAACCACTGGGCTGGTTGTTGTGCGAAGAACCCCTTGTGAGTCCAACAGATTCACCATGGGGTTTTTGCTGCTTCCTCTTGATCCTCCTCTGGGTATCCCATGGCAGAACCAATTTGGCTGTTACCCCACCCTGATAATGAATCCTTTTTTGCTTGACATGTCATTCCACCCCCCTCATTTTAAACTTCACATTTGAAGATCATAATCTACATCTTGACTGCTGTTTTCATGATCTCTTTTAACAGCTTTTTCACAGTGCCCAGCTGGCAAATTGAGGGGGTGGTCAGTGATCAGCAAACAATTCTTTTAAAAAAGTTGTGTCCATAATATGTGCAAATATTTTCATAATTTAAAAAAGTTGGACTAGAACAACTGGAGAGGTCCACAATTCTGTGAGTGCAAAAATGGGAAGCTTCAGATGGGTTAATGTCCTGGCTGGTGGTGGTATGTGTCATAAGGGGCCCCATGAATTAATTCCCTCCAAAAAGACATCTAAGTGGCCTTGCTCAGCCTTTGCAAATTAAAGGCTGTGGCTTCCTTTATGGAGTCAATCCATTTCATGTTTGATCTTCCTTTCTTCTTCTGCTTTCAGTTTCCTTAGAGTGACTGTCTCCTCCAGGTTGTCCTGCCTTCTCACAATGAGCTTAATATACAACAGTTTCATTTTGTATTTTTTTTATTCTAGGGAGTGTTTTGTCTTAATTTGATCTAGCTATTGTTAAAATAGAACCTGTAGTTTAACAACAGCCAGAACCCTGGATCCACAAATTTATTTATTTATTTACAGTGTTGTAATTTCACTGTAAGGCGTTTAATACACGTCTTTTGGAGGTGGAGGCAATGATTATCAGTGCCATGGTGATATCTGAAAGCAACCAGAGAAAGGTGCAAATGCAATCAGAGGGAGAGCTGATTTTCCTGCAGGGTCTCTTGTAGAAAGGGCCAGTGCTGTGATGTCATCTGTGGGTCATCCATTGTGCAACAGAGCACAATGTATAAAGTAAGTTGGGCTTATATGCCACAACCCTGAGTCATCTGTATTTGCTCACACTTGGACATTATTTATTACAGGTTTCATGGGTCTATACATTTTTGTTTTCATACTCTAGCCAAGATTTATACTCTAGTATTAGCAAGTACATATAAAGTAGTTGCTCTGCTAATTTGGCCATATTAGCATACCTGTTGACAGGGTAAATTTCCGGAATAGGTATCAAACTTCAGAGCAGGAGTCCTGTTTTTGTCATGCAAAGCCAAGAAAAGGCAGATCATTAGACTTTAGTATAATCATGCATAGTTGGATAGCAATGGTCACTATTGATGCAGTTGTATACACGTCTGTCAGAAGTCTAAGTCACAAGAATTTAACGGGGATTACTCAAAAGTAAGTGAATATGGCAGGATAGGCAATATAGGGGTCAGTGCAACTTCTGTATTCAGCAATTTCAACTTCTGCCGAAACTTGCCCTTTTCTTTAAAAAAAAATGGTGACCAGCATTGAAGAAGACTAGTAATCAAATTCAGTTTGTTCTCAAGCAAGATTTGATCTTTTTACTCCACTGTAGCAGTTTGTTGCTGAATGTTGGCAGCAAAGCTACCCATTCTTTTTGCAGAGGCCCTAGGGTGTGCTGCCCATGGGGTTGGGGAGTCAGAGTGAAAATCCCTCCAAATCCCCCCAACACATTTGTCTAGCCCATTTTATTGTATTGCTCCTTAAGTAATTGTTCTAAGTATCAGCATGTTGGTCATATCAACCTGCACATGAAACTATACTTGCCTTCCACAGTGTATGTGAGAAGAGTTGGTTTGGAACTGACTAGTAAATGGACTACATTTTACTGGATTGCAGAAAGGATTGATACTGCTATAGGATTAACAGTTACAACCATTTTTAAATTACTTTGCATGCACTTCTAAATATTCAAGAATGACTCTCCTTTGAGACAAAAATAACAATTGACACATAGATGACATATTTACGTTCAAGTTTATCAGATCCTAACTGCACAGCTTTGAACATCCAAAGACTGTGAAAACAGTCACATCTGCTTAGTGACTCGGCCTTTTGGAGCAATTTATCTGGATTCAGGCTTATCACAACAAACAGAGCAATTATTATCTTGCTATCTATTTTAAATAGAAGCCATTTATCACACAACCATTTCTAAAATTTAGGACCAGAAACAGATTGTAAGAAATCCATTTTTAGAATTGACCTTTACAGAATGTGGTTAAATGCCATAGCCGGGTCCTCCAACTGCTGAAGAAGCAAATAGATTTATATCATTGCCTTTGTGCTCTATTGGTCTTAATGTGCTTTAAAAAGCAATTTACAAGTGTCTCTGATACTTTGTATGGACAAACAAGCAGAAGTCAAAATAGATGCAGTGGTGCATCTGAACCTTTTGCCCTCATGCTACTGAAAGACAAACTGCATGTTAACTTTCCAGTCTTTCAACAAAAACATCAGCTTTAAGGAGAGCACGTAAGTGGCACTTTTAAATTTTAAAAAGCCACTTGTAGTGCAATCCTACACAAGCCCACTCTGATCCAAGTCCTACTATGTTCAGTGAGGTTTATCTTAGGTAAGATGTATAGGATTTCAGCCTTGTTCTGCTTTAAGTGTCCATAGTGAGACTAAGGAGAGCCAGTGTGGTGTAGTGGTTAAGAGCATGGGACTCAGACGATCTGGGTTCTAGTTCCCACTCAGCCATGGAGCCAACTGGGTGACTTTGGGCCAGTCACAGACTCTCAGCCCAACCTACCTCACAGGGTTGTTGTTGTGGGGATAAGATGGAGGAAGAGATGTAAGCTGCCTTGAGCCCTTTGTAGGAAAAAGGCAGGATATAAATCGAAAAATAAAGAAATAATGTATACTTACACCAGTATCCAGTGGTGTGAGTTTGTAAACCCCAAAAATGCTAGGGGTGCTTCTGTGAATCTTTCCATTACATAGCCAGTTGCCAGCTGGGGAAGGCAAAAGATGTTCTAGGGCCTTTTTTGGTCTATACATGCATAGAATTAATTGCACCATAAGGATGCTGTCCTTACAGCAGGCCCGGTTGGACATAACAGTGGTACCTTGGCTCACAAACACCTCAGTTCACGACCAAATTGGATCACGAACAGAAATTTCATTACAATTTTGCCACAGGGCACACACTCTGCATCGGGTGACGATTGTGAGCGCACCCGCCTTCCCTGCACGGGTGCAATCACGGTCGTGCTGGGGTGTGGGGGATGGCCGCGTTTGTGCTGGGGGTGGAGATGGCCGCAATCTTTGTTGTTCTTTGTCACTTCGCTTCACATTTTTGTGAGTAAAAAAATAGCTACAGAACGGATTAACCTTATTTACATTGACCCTTATGGGGAAATTTGACTTGGCTCATGACCACTTTGGGTCATGACCAGAGTCCTGGAACGGATTAAGTTCGTGAGCCAAGGTACCACTGTATAATGCAAAGTGAGCATATTTTAAGAAGTCTGATGTGTCTTTTCTTGAGTGGTAGTCAAATCAGATTTTGTGCATTACTTTTCCAGCTTTATGGCTACCAGAAAGTACAATTTTGTAACACCAGATGAAGAAACCACCTGGGCCAGAGCACAGCAGATAATTAGAGATTACAATTTCTTGTTTTTTTTCTGGATTTGATGCTTTTTATATGCACTCAGTAAAATAATTACTATTAGTTTCCTTGGATCCTGTTTCCAGTAATTGGGGGGGGGGGGTTTCTTTGGATCTTGTTTCCAGTAATAGAGATATGATATAAAACATGAAAAGCCTGCACCTATCTTGAAACAGAGGAAGCCTCTTTGCAGCCAGTATATTTTGAAGGGAAGGGTTCAAAATTAAACACAGCCAGTGGGCTATTTTTATGGTCTGTCTGTTTAGGGTAGATCATGGTCTGGCTGCTATAAACCAGATTCCTATTAGCCCATCTAGCCCAATACATAAAAAAATAATTAAATGGGGCAATAGAGAAAAAATGTTAAAGGTTCTTATCATGCTTATCAGGTTCTGTTTGAAAATTATGTATACATGGTGGAAATGTCATATAAGAGATCTGATTCCAAACCATTTAGTTAATTCCTCTAGTCTAAATATTAGTGATTTCCAAATATACTTGGCAATTCAGATGCCCCTAGCTGCCTTCATTTGTTGAATTTCACAGACCTTCTCCCTGCATTTTTAAAGATTATCAACCTGTACAATTCCCATACTCCAGCCATTTGGATATAGTACACAAAGTCATTGTGCAGGTTTCAAACATGACCCACAATTAATCAACATTCCATACCTGAGGTTGTATAAACCAAGCCAGAGTCATGAAAGCATGTAAGGAATGTAAAAGTCCTGCTGAATCAGAGGGCAGCTGCATCTACAATGCATTTACTTCCCTGTCCAAACTACACTGTGTAAGACCTGCCTAAGTCCATTTTAAAAAGAAACCTTTTGACATTTGTCAAAGGTAGTAACAAAAATGGAGTGGGATCAACATTTCCCCTTTCCACTGTAGCTTAAAGGGAAATGTCTTGAACTCCCTTTTCCAACCAAAGATCCTCCACAGCTTTGATTTCTCTTGATAGCTTGCCTTTTGACATCTGTCAAAAAGCTTAAAATAACTAAACGTCTTCATAGTTGCTCTCTGCTGCACTTTGACAGCAAACATCTTCCACATGATCCCAGACAAGGCTTCCCATTTCATAGCCCTGCAAATGCAGACCTTCACTTGCACAACACTCACTTTAAAAAAAATGGACCAATTGTGTTTAAAACATTAGAAAAGTGGTGGGGAATCAGTGACAGCCCCTAAAACCTGTTGGCTGAACACTTCAGAGTGGCTCTTACCTCAGAGTACATGAAAAACTATCCGTCCCGTAACAGTGGAGGGAAAGCAATGGCAAGTAAACATGGGCTTAGTCAATGTACACCAAAGCAGTACAGGCTGCTCCATCGTGCCATTGGTGGGGTGACTGTCTGCGGCAGTGACTCAGATGAGCTCGGCAAGGTTCTTGACGTGCATATTGCTTGCTGCTTTTCTGGACCCATTATGAAGTTGGTTACCTGGGTTCAGTTGACGTATTAATTGATCATGGATTCAACAACCCTTACAAGGCACTGGTTGTCCTGGTGACTTCAGGAGGCAGTCCAGATTTAAATAATATGACAGGGGTAGCTCCTAATAATGGGCTGCCATCTCATGCAGACCCAGTTGCTCAAGTTACGGATGTTCTTTACTATTTGTCTGTCCCCTGATGTAGGGTGCAAGGAAAGAGTATCTGACTTTTTATGGATGGGATAGGTTCACCTATCACAAGACAGATTTGCTTTTCAATAATGATTTCAAAGATAATGCAAAGGATTGTCCCTTTTTTAATTGGTGCTAGTCAAGGCATGGACAGAATTTAGATAGATGTAGTTACATCTGTTTGTGTCACACATGTCTGAGTGTTCTCAAAGCAATCTGTCATACAATTTTGTTTCTGAAGTTTTTCTTCTAATGACTAATAAATAAAAACACTAGATGACACTTTCAAATCAGATTTAATTGAAGTTTATAAAATTATACCAGGCTGTATCTGGATAAGAAATTATCTATCTGTGCATCCAGTAAAGCTAGCTAGTGCCCATTTATCTCCATGTAAGAACTTGCATGGAGGTGAGGGCAGGAAGAACTTACATGGAGGCGAGGATAATATTCCGATTTATGGAAACTTCCACTCGGACATTAAATATCTGAAATTCACTTATCCTCTCCCTTCCTCCCCCTGTATAACTTACTCTCATACTTTTTCTGTTGTCTTGATGGTGAGATTTCGCAAGTTGTCAGAGGCAGCAACCTCTGGCAGCTCTTTTCCAGTTCACTGCCATTTCTTCTATTGCCTCAAGGTAGCACTTTTCATTTCCCGTTTTGCCATCTTCCCATAAAGGGACATGTTCTTTTGAGCAATTCCTTTTGTTGGGCCACATGTAACCCTAAATACATATGAAAAGCTTTCTACAGTGCACTTATTTGATTCAAGGCATTTAGTGTTTTGCTGACCAGTGTTCTTCACATACCTTTGCAATTTGCTTTTTCACTTCCGTCCTATTCAGACAATATAGACAGTATTTGCATGAACAATAACTTAAAACCAGTCTGTTGGCATATCCTCTTTACAGTATCAGTTAAACTACTGCACTTCATATTTAATGCCTTATTAACAGCATCAGTGGTTTACGTGAAACCTTAGTAAAATCACAACTGTAAGATTACAGAAAACCATCAATTTTCAAACTAGATGAATTAATTTTATGCTGTCAACATCATGAACATAAGACTACTTGAAAGTTTGTCACTGAAACAAAAGAAATGTCATACTGATATCAACTTTTACCTCAATGTGTCCTTCTTTCTACCTAAAGATGAACCATCTGCAAGCCCAGAAATCCAGCTGTAGACTGTATCTGTTACGGAGTCAAGCTAGACTGATGGCGAAAGTGAAACTGCTGGCTATTATCACAATCAGGTTTAAAAACAAATGAACAGCAACACCCATCACAAAAAAACACAAAACTACTTGGAATGCAAGAATACTATTTGTTCAGTATGCCAGGATAAAACTGCAACTAATAACTACAGACATTGGCCCAAACCAGGATTTTAATGTTCTAAATATTTAAAGTTTACATTCAATAAATTAAATCTTTAAACTATAGACATCAATAATTATGTATTAGATCTTATGGCAATGCTATGAAAATAGCATGCATGCTTTCAAAATCCACCATTTTATTGTGTTCCACTATAAAAAAAAAGTTTGGCTTTATACAGTCATACACCTGAAACCAAACCAGTGTTAAGATTTCCCCAACACCCTTCCGTAGCACACTGTACAAAAGAAATACAATGCTTTACCATTCTACTACAGAATAATGATGTAAGATCCATTGCTTTGTTTGATTGCAGTGGAAGTCTGTCCCTGGTTTAAATTCTGGTTGCCTTATTTCCTACCCTTGTAATTCCTAGATCATGGTGAATGAACTGAGACCATGTATCAAAAGCTGTAAAAGCACCAGTTCAAATAATTCAACTGAGAATTGTATTCTGTTACGAAAAAGTGATGTCAAATCAATATTCTTTCTTTCAGTCCCCTTTGCCACCAAAAATTGCAGTTGCTGTAAGAGGTATAGTTTCAATAGCCTGATGACTCCTCATGCTTCTTTAACAGTTGCAAGAAAACACATTCCAGCCCAGAGTTATAAAAGTGCTTCGCAGATAATCCGTTACTTCACAGCTTATTTGAATAAAATATATGGGAATCAGTATGCTGACTTCACCCTCTTGGCCAAAATCCCCATGCTGCTCCAGGCAACAACAAAGCAATTACTACAGAGGAGAAGAGATTTACTGCATTGTTATCTAGGATAGGTTTTCCAGATATGTGCTTTACATCTTCTGTTTGATGGTTGACAACCATTCCAGTGCGTGTATCAAAACCTGTGGGAAATAAAAACAACAATATTAATTAGATGACATTTTTCTCCAATGAGGATATGTGATATCAAATGAAATATATAAATGCCCCATAAATAACTACAAGATACTCAATACAGGTTTTTGATAAAAGCATTAACAATTAAAGCACTGAAATTGCAGTCTATTCTCTATTTTAAATCCTACGTTAAAACCCTGTTTATTCTCCTGAACCTTTCAGCGGCTTTCAACACCATGAACCATGGCAGTCCTGGATAGGTTGGCAGGGTTGAAAGTCGATGCTATCACTTTGTGGTGGTTCTGCTCCTACCTGGCTGATCATTTTTGGAAGGTGGTGCTGGGGGATATTTGCTCTGTGCCATGGCAGTTGTAGCATGGAGTTTTCTGCAGGACTCAATTATATCCCCCATGTTTTTAACATGTTTTTTTAACATCTACATGAAACTACAGGGAGTGGTCATCTAGAGGTATGGGCTGAGATGTTATCAACATGCACATAACACTCAGTTCTACCTCTCTCTTTATCAGACCCAGAAGAGAGGTGGTGAACAGGAGAAGGGCCTTTTCAGTAGTGGCACTCCATCTATGGAATATGGTCCCCAGAGAGGTATGCATGGCTTGGCACCATCTTTACTATCCTTTCGGTGCCAGGCAAAACCCTTTTTATTTACCAGATATTTTAAGAACTAAGATGGAAATTTTATATATCTGTTTTTTAATATTGCTGCTGCTGTACTGGGTGCGGTTATAAGTACCGAAGTTATTGCTTGGTATTTTTAGTGCTTGTTGTATTGTATCATTGTATTTAATTGTTTGTATATGGGTTTTAATGTTCATTAATCACTCAGAGAGCTCTGTGGGCTATGGAGCGGTATATAAATCTATATTAAGTAAATAAATAGTATTAATTTTATCACAGCCAGTGATTATATTTTACACAGCACATAAGGTTGCAGTCTTAAACATTCATACATATAAAAGATTCCAAGTGCTAGTACTGACATTCAAAGACCTAAACAGCTTGGAGCAGGTTATCTAAAGGATTGCCTCATCCCATATGTACCTAACCAGATCCTGAGGCTATGTTTGAGGGTTCTCTGGAAGCCCCTTTCAAGTAAGTGAAGCAGTTGGCCCTTTTGGTTGTGGCACTCTGGTTTTCAAATAAGCTCCCCAAAGAGGTGCACCAGATGTCTACTTTGTATTCTTTTCAGCATCAGTTAAAGACCTTTGTATTTTCCTAATAGTTTAACTTTTTAACTTTGTTTTTATATATTCCACTTTATTCAGAACAGCTGCTATGCTGAATCACAGCAAGTGCTATTATGGTTTTGTTCTTTTAAATTAATCTTTGTGTGTCTTTGAACTTTATTTAATTTTAACTTTTGTTAACCTTGACTTTTAGGTAGTATGAAAATGAAATAAATATAAATAAACATATGGGAATAAGTCCCATTTAATGAAGTGGCCCAAAAATGGCTCCATGGCTAATCTGCAAGCAAAATATTATTTTTTCTGTTAAAACATCATTTCTAGAGATGAGAGAACAACATCGTCCTGGTAACACACTATGGTTTACATTTACATTTCTTTTGCCAAACCAAAGGGTCTTCATTTATTAGAAAGGGAGGAGCAATATCCTCCTGGTTATGCAAGTTGGTCACTTACATTTCCATTTCTGTCTGTCAAACCAGAGGATTTACAAGAGTATAATGCCACACTGCTTGAATCTTATCATACAGACTGCAAAACATATATTCATTGCTTATGCATTAGACACAGGCCAGGAGTTTTTCTAGCACTACCACTAATGATCAATATTCATCTTGAAACCCCAATGATACAACAGTGCAATCAGTACTAAAAGGGAATTCCCAAGGTATTCTTGAAGTCCCTATGAATTACAAGCTTTGAAGTATCCCTATGCTATCATTACTGAAAACGTCTCCCAATCATAACGCACCAATTTTATACTAAGGTTTTTTTTGTAACTTACCACTGTATTGCATAGTTGCTCCTAAATAAGAATCAATTATAGATCCTAGTAAACCAGCAAATCCACCAAACACAATAATGGGCCATTGCGGAGCAGATATATCCAGATCATTCACAAAGATCAACTGGGAAATGAAGTAAGCTACACCTACTAATGTGCCACCAAGCAGACTTGAGATTAGGCCCACTAAAGTAACACCACCATTGGTACCTTAAAAAAAAAACAAAAAAATTTAAAAAATCAAATGAAATTGGCATTCTAAACTATTTAGCACATATCTTCAATGAAGTAGAAAGAAAAGAAGCTCTACATTTATTACACACATTTAAGTGATGAGGAGAATTCTTACTTTCCTTTAGAAGAAGAAAACTGATTAAGATAAGCTCCATCTTTATCTGGAACACATCACAGCAGCATTAGAATGGACCTAGGATAATCTGATTGTTCCTTAAAAGATTTTAAACTAATCCTGTTTTAAGAATCCATGACAAAAACATAGGACCTGCATAAATATAATATTCACAATCAAATAACCATGATTAACAGGTATGGAACTGGCCACAAGCTTGCAAGTTCCATCCCTACAAATCTCTTCTATGCCTTCCCTTGTCTGTGTTAACCCCCATGTAGCATTATGTCCCTACTCAGTCTGACACTCGCCATTGTCAACAAACCTGACCCAAACTCTAGTTAAAGCCCATGGTTAATATCAGTGTCTGTGTAGACATTATGGTATACAATGGATACCACTAAAAGATAAACAGAGGGGCAACTTCACCTGGAAGAAGGAAGGGTAAAAGCACACAAAACCACAAAAAGCACTGCTGATGTGTCACCATGTTTATGAAAACAGAAAGGTTTTCACCAGCACATTAAAGTAAATGGCAATGGCAATATTTATTTTGACCACAAGCAAAGTGTAGGTACCTTGAATCTGATATCTGATACTACTATTATTATTGTGCATTTATACTCCACCTTTTTTGTCCTGCAAGAAACCCAAGGAGGCTTACATAGTCCTCCTCCACCTAATTTTATCCTCACAAGAAGGCTCTGAGGTAGGTTAAGCTGAGAGGCAGTGACTGGTGCAAATTCACCCCGGAATCTCCATAGGAAAGTGTCTTATAATGAGTCAGGTCCTTGCTCTATTTGGCCTTGTATAATCAACAGTGATGACAAGCTGCAGCTCTTCAGCGTTTCAGGCAGGATTCTTTCCTAACCCTACCAGGAGAAGTCAGGAACTGAACCTGAAACTTTTACATGAAAAGTAGTTGTTTGACCACTGAGCTCGACACCTGCCTTCTAATATCTAATGATGGCAGCCTTAAGCACCCTTTTGTCAGAGGAGCACAGAATTAGGTGAGGAATGTGGAAACCATATTGATGTCCTCTGGCTGTCTAGGTCATTCAACAAAAGTTCAGCAACTCAGCTTTTCCTCCAGCTGTGGTCACAACCAAGTGGCTATTAGCTTCTTCAAACATTAATGGTTAATGGCTATTACCTCTTGAATTGAGATGTTAGCCAAGTGTAAGGAGCAACATGCACTATTTCAGAAAGTCTGACATTCTGAATACTATATATCTGCAAACTATATTATATTTGGTTTTGATTGGATTTGTTTCTGGTTTTGATCATTTTATTGTATTGTTCTATCGATTGTTTTATGGTTTTGTTTTGAATCATGTAAGCTGTCCTGAGACGCGATAGCAAAGGACGGCATACAAATGTTTTAAATAAATATATAAATAAAATTAACTATTTGTCCTAAAAGGTAGATAAACTTTGTATGTTGCAGTATTTTTTACAGTATTTTAATGAAGCATATGGGTAAATCTACAAGTTTGCATAAAATCATACCCCTACTGAGACAGAAAGATCCACAAGCTGCTATAACTCTTTCCATTAGTTTTAGATGGTCTGCCCAGTTTAACTGTGGTTTTGCTGCAACAAGGGAAGGGAGTTAGACAACAGTGGGCAGAGTTAAATTAAGCTAGCACAAAGCAGTCTCTTTATACCAAATTCAAGATTACATGAGCAACACATATTATCAGGGTACTCCTGGCCACATCTACTGCTGTCATTACACCTATATGATTTTTGGAAACAAAAGCAGAATTCAGTCTTACCTACTGGAACCTTTCTCCAGGTAGTTATCAACCGGGGTTCATGACTTACGACAGTGCCAATCTCTGAAGCCCATGTATCCCCAGCACAGCAGGCCAAAGCACCCAGTAGTGACAGGCACATCCAGGATGCTGTGTATTGTTTCGAGAAGTCTATTGGAATTTCCCCTGGTCCATTTTCAATCATGTATAACAAAGCCAGTTCTGCAGGCACGCCACCATTGCAGAACACTTGCACCCAGGTTCTTTGCCCACCTATATACAAATACAGAGGTCACAAGGAGTTACAAGAAATCTAACATACTACTACCCATAAAGCATGCAATAAAAGAATTAGTAACTCATTAGAAACTAGATGGTGCCAAAAAACATTTATGTAGGTTTTTACTTTCTTGCCCATTATAACCATCATCCCCCAGAACTCCTAACACCTGTTTTCCCACAAATCTTCCTTTCCCAACAACCCCAACCTTACTCACTCAGTAGGCTCCCTTGGTGGGGCATTTCCAAACAGCTTTGGAAGCTGGCAGGGAGAGGAGGGGACTGAAAAGTCAGCTTTCACTTGCGCATGTTGCAGAATTGTATCTCTGGACTCAATCCATAGTGTATGCTCCACTCTGTGTACATCCTTACTCCTTTAAAGTCAAAATTAAGTTTTTAATTATCTTAAAAACTTACCTTCTTTGTATTCAGAATCTATTTGCTTCTTTACTTCACCTCTCCATTTGGTTAATTTGGAGGAAGTAATGAAAAACATGAGCATTGCCGTGAAAAAGCTGTAATTTGCAACAGTGAGGATAAATCCAACTATTAAACCTGAGAGAGGGGGAGAGGAAAATGACAAGTTACTATGCCCAACAAAGTATTGCAACAGAACTAAATCACAAGTAAGTGATTAACTAAAAAATTAGTTCAAAATCAGCTGACACAGCAATCCTTTCTAAGGATATGCAAGATAAATCACTCAAGTGGGAGCAGGGATTGGGATCCAGTGATCTTCAGATTCCATTATGTAGCCATAAAATATAGCAAAACACCTATTTAACTGATGAAATAGGAAAATGTGCCACAAAATAAGTCTAAATATTCTCATAGAAAAGTGCAATAATCTGCAAAAAAAAAGGAAGAACAGCCATGCCTTCTCTCAGAATACTAAATCTCATTTGCTCTAGTCCATGATTCTTTGTTTTTCCTCTTTCCCAACAAACATACTACTGGGCATGCTCAGTCCTCAGGCTATTTTCATGGTGGGGAGGGTTGCGCCTTTGGCTTCTTTTAATAAAAGACTTTTGTATGTTTTGGAAACCTTGTGATTCTCACAAGCATGGCCATCTTCCATCTTGTTTTTTAAGGAGTTCCATTTTGGCTGCACAGTCACAGCAACACAGCAAATTAGTTAACTAAAAGTTTGTTTTCTTCTTTCCTCACCATTCCTTTTTTTTAATCACTGAAAATATGTGAGTCTGGGTAGGGATTGCCTTATTTTTCCACCTCTACACAGCATGTGCGAAATTTAAGTTCATTTTTTTATCTCTCTTCCTCTCTCTTGTGCCATAGAAAATGCTGATCACTTGGCTGAAAATATCACTCCATCTCAGGGCCCATGGAGTCATCCAAACCAGTATTCATTACGCGTTTAATTTCAGTTCTGAACTGCACAAGTCTTCATGCATCTTATCCATAAACATCTTTTCAGTACTAAAGATTTTGCCCTTGTGCAATAAATGCTAAATTTATGTAAATTTCTGTAAACATCTCCCATAAATTAAATTCCCTAATAAATTATAATCACACACACTGCAAAGCTACAAAGAGAGGGAGGAAAAGAGAAAGGATGCAATATGGTGTGTACATCTCTCCTCACTCAAATTACCAGTAGCAAAGTGCCAAGAGTAGTTACCTTTTAAATTTATTTTTTAGTTTATTATTTGAACAGACATAACCAATACAATTAATATAATAGTAATAACAATACTAATAAACATAATTAAACCATACAATAATAACAGCACGATGCTACTTAATGGAAGAGCATTTATTTATTCATTCAGATTGCCCTACTCCCACTTTTCTTCCAGAACTGGACTGACTTGTGATGGTTCACACCCCTTTCCTTTATTAAATATTCAATAAATGATCTCCAAGTATTTTCAAACTTACTTTTACTTATCAAACCTTTTTCCACTTAATAGCACAAGTTAACTTATTGTTAATAGCTATATTCCAAACTTCTTTCTACCAGCCACCTAATTGATAATCACCTTTTATTTTCCCATTCCTTGATATTATTTATCTTACTGCAGCTAATAAATTTGTCATCAGTTCTTTAATATTTAATTCCACTTGTTCTCTAAATAATGACACTTCCCAAAACTCATGGATATATTTGTACTCCCACCACATATGGAAACATGTACCCACTTCCCAGTTGCATCTTCAACATACACTGGAATATTCATTATTCATATAATTCAGTTTAACTAGAGTTAAGTACCATTTCCAAACTAATTTATAAAAATTCTATTTAATTCTTATTGATGTAAATTTAAAAATTCTCTTATCCCACTTGTTATTCCATTCTTCCATAGTAGTATTTCTTTTTTAATCTATTTCCCAAGACTCTTTATGAGGATCAAGTTAGCCCTCCCCTTCGAGTAATATTTTGTAAATTTTACTCGTCATTCCTCTCATCCACCTATTATCTTGTTTTTCCTTCTGTAAAATTCTATGTTCAAATTTAATATATTATCTACATTTACCAATTTTCTTCAACCAATCTTTAGTCCAATGATCCTTACCCTGATCCTTACCCTGTCCCAGTATTGCATGTATCATTTCTTTACTCTTCATTTTCCCTAACCAATCTTAAAACCTAATAACATGTTTACTCTTCAGTACTTCCCTTAAACTACTCCTCAAATTCTTGAGAATCTTTCTAATTCCTTTCTGGTTCCCAAGCTTTTCTCTTCTCCATTAAGTTCCAGTTCTTTCACACAACTCTTTAGATTGTCTTCCAGTGCCACCAAACTTTCCCCTATCTCTTCATTCTTGACTGCTGAACATAAACCCCTTCCTATCCTATGTCCACTTAATTCACTGGTTGCTTTGTTGTTATTATTGTAGGGTTTTAAAATTAGACAATGAAACTTTTAATTCCTTATTATTGTTATATATACTTTTTTTCTTTTTCTTGTAAGCTGCCTTGAGACGTCAGTAGTAGGCAGCATATAATGAAATATAAATAAATAAAAATAATACAGTCTGTAGATGCCTGCCAAGGACCATATCTTGCCAAGGACCAAATCTAATCTATGTATCATACATAGTCTACCCTTGGTGTCAGCAATGGATCTGCTAACGTTACATTTCGGTCAAGACAATTTTACCATATACACTTGATAGGATCCAACAACTTCAAATCAGTTGGTTGATATTCATGTCATTTATGAGAAGATCATCTTGCAGTGGGATAACTTCAGAATATAGTAGAAACATTGCATTACTTGCAAAGTAGCTCATACACACAAGTAATCAAACTGTGTGAGAACATCGAAGAAAAAAATAATTTATGGGAGTCAACAGATCTCTAAAATATATGTAGAACCAAAATTAAGGCATAGAAACATACCTCCTATTGCTCCACCATGATCAAGGCTCTTTTTCTTAAATCCTCGTGAACTAATTATTAGTGGAATTAAGATTGAAAAAAGCCAACGCCATGGAGAAATGGGTCGCAAAGTACCTAAGAAAGTTGTTAAAAACAGTGTTGATTTGTGTGTCAGAAGTGTCAGAAAAGCAAGGTAACTTTACAGATTCAATGGTTCTGGTAGACTACAGATTCCCAAATCCAGTAACCACAAATTCCTGCACTATCCCTGAATTTCAGCACCATCCTTTATGGTTATACTTCTCTTTACAGTAAATATGCAAAGACATTTCATATGAAGGCTTGTAAACCAATTGCTGTGATAGAGAATACAGTTCACAGGAGGAAAGGTTTCTACAGGAAGAAGCATGCATATGCACAGACACTGCCAGCTATAATATTCTGTAATCCAAAAGGACGTGTAGTTCAGAACCACCACTACCCATGCAGGTTAATTCATGCTTAGAGAAGACGCACTGAAATCAATGGGCCAAGTAAGTCATGCCTAACCTGCCTCATTAAATTTAACAGGTCTACACTAATCATGACTAAATCAGGATTCAACCCATTATCAATAGGTTATTTCCCTATTTAACTGGTGCTATTTAACTGGAACTGTAGTCTTTATTAAACGTTCTAAAAATATCAGCTACTCAATATTGTGAAGCATTTGCTGACAAATGAACATGTTCTTGACAACACTGGCTTATCACCTCCACTGACAGAAGTATGTTACTTTTGTTAAAAACATTAACATTCATAATGCTATATGAATATTTCCTATATTTCAGATGTTAAATATATTACTATTTATTTATTTATTTATTTATTTATTTATATTGGTTTATATCCTGCCTTTTTCCTACAAAGGGCTCAAGGCAGCTTACATCTCCTCCTCCATCTTATCCTCACAACAACCACCCTGTGAGGTAGGTTGGGCTGAGAGTCTGTGACTGGCCCAAAGTCACCCAGTTGGCTCCATGGCTGAGCGGGGACTAGAACCCAGATCATCTGAGTCCCACTCCCATGCTCTTAACCACTACACCACACTGGCTCTCCACACTATGGGCCAATTATTTATACTGATAGCATGACTACAGGTAATTATTGCATATCTAAACATTAATTTATTTTCTAAGACCTTACAACTCTCTAGCGATAACACACTTACAGAAATATCTGTAAGACAACAGTCAATTTTATTCTGATTGTTGTTTTCAGAGATTCTCATTTAGAATCTTGCTCACATATTCAGATGAGCAATTAAAGATGCAGTCCTATGCATGGAAGAACTTCTGCCTAAATTTGCATAGGATTGCATCCCAAGAGTATAAAAGCATTGTATGTGTGCTGTAAACCATACATTTCATGAAATCCAGCCACTTAAACATTACCATAATATGTGCTTGCAGTCAAGGACACAATCCAAAAAGATAATGAAATGCAAATTAATACACTCAAAATGATAATATTTGTTATCATTTTGCAAAAATCTTTGTTGAAGTCATCCCAAGAATGAAATATCATGGAAAAGCTGAGGTTGATCACCTGTGAAAAAACAAGAACATACTTTCAATTAAAGTGTTTAAAAAACAAATAAAGTGGTACCTTGGTTCATGAACTTAATCCATACCATGATTCTAGTCGCGACCCGAATTGGTCACAAGCCAAGTCAAATTTCCCCATAAGGTCCAATGAAAATAAGGTTAATCCATTCTGACCCCTACTAATGTGGTCACGAGCTGATTTTGGTCACGAGCCAAGTCAAATTTGTTCATAAGGTTCAATGTAAATAAGGTTAATCCCTTCTGTAAATGTTTTTTTTATCACAAAACTTTGAAACAAAGTAACAAAGAACAACAAAGTAACAAAGTACAGTACAGTAGAGAACAATAACCTAGGTGGGGGGGGCAGGGGGGAGGTTATTGCTTGAGGGAGAGTCCCCCTCCATAAGGACATCGAGGAGATCTCTTTCAGAGGTCTCCTCTCTTCTTTATCTCTTAGCTGCAGGGTCAATTATGGCAAAAAATCTGTCTAATGTCTGTCTAAAATCTGTTCTTGTCACCTTCATTACCACTCTGCACATTCTGGTCGCCTTCATTACTGATCTGCACATTCTTTCTACCACCATGCTTGCTCTGTACTTTCTCTGGAGCCATTATTCAATATTATATTTAATATTATACTATAATATTTACAGTACTGTATGTGCTAAAAAGCACACAAAAAAGCTTCACAGCAAGTGTCCACAGGTCTGTCTGCAGAGCAAGCAGAGAAGATGGCCGCAACTGTGATTGTGTTTGTGTAGGAACATGGCTGTGATCATGGTCATCACCCGATGCAGAGTTAATGAACTGAAGCAAAATTTTTTCCAAAATTTCTGTTCACAACCCGATTTGGTCGTGAACTGAAGCATTCGTGAGCCGAGGTACCACTCTAAGTATATATCAAATACTGTAGCAATTAGGTTGCTCACAAATATACCGTATTTTTTGTTCTATAAGACGCACTTTTTCCTCCTCAAAAGTAAGAGGAAATGTCTGTGCGTCTTATAGAGCGAATGTGTGTGTGCCCGATGCCCGGGACGCTGCCTGCCGCCTGCACCACGTGGCACCACCTGGCTGGCATGCGCTCGGCGCACCCTGCTCCACCCCCCGCTCTGGCGCAGGTGAGAGCTGTGCCACTCAGGGGGAGTGGTGCGGAGGAGGAGGAGCCGCGGGCTTTAACCTGCCGGCCGCACAGAGAGATGGACTGCTCACCCCCACCGCCCGAAAAGACCTGCCGCCGCCACCGCTGCGCCACCCGGAGGACCACTGCCGGTACGCTGCTGGCCCAGCTGCACCACACCAGGCCAGCACGCACTTGGCATGCCCTGCTCCGCCCCTCTCTTCCGGCGCAGGTGAGCGCTGTTAATCACAGGTTGCTGTGTGTTTTCAAATGGCAACCCGTCTTTTAATGAAGCCCATGGGGAAGTGATGGGGAATGTGCCTGTGATTATCAGGAAGCTTTCCATGGATCCCTCCTCTAAAAACTAGGTACGTCTTATGGTCAGGTGCATCTTATAGAGTGAAAAATATGGTACATTATGAGAAAAGTAAACATTTAGGGGGAAAATGCCAGGAGCAACAGGTTCATAATGCAAGCTGTCCTTCGGGGAACTAGTGCGAATCTCCTTCAACTCAAGAAAATAAAGAAGCAATATTACTGAGGGCCAAACTATATGCTAGGACAGCCAATTGTTTAGTCATATGACTGCCCTGTTAACATGCAAAGTAGGGGGTCAGATCTGATTTTTATGTCAAAGAAAGTACAAGGGGTTGCACAGCCTTCCCCACCCTAACTCTTTATGCTGAGTTAGACTTTTCTGGCACTAGACTTTTCCCAGTCGGACTCACTATCAGTGGTGGAACAATGAAGATCCAAGCAATCCTTTCAGAATAGGGTGAACCCACACAAACAGTAGAAAGCACATAAACATCAATTTACCCACCTCCAGTACACATTTTTGAAGGAATTCAGAACGGAAGATTATTTTTTGAATGACTAATGCAATGGAAAAGAATGGTTGAAGTATATATACCTATGGTTAAAGATAGTACATGCAAAGTAAAGACAGTACAGTGGTACCTCGGCTCACAAACGCCTTGATTCACAAACAAATCGGGTTATGAACAAAAATTTCTGAAAATTTTTGACTTGGGTCACAAACACCGCTTTGGATGGCGACTAAGATCGCAGCCATTTCCCCCCCACCCCCCAAGTGGAGAGATGGCCACGATCGCAGTTCCATTCGTGCAGGGAAGACATGCGTGATCAGAGGCGCGCTGCTACAGGGAAGACGGAAGCAGCAAAGCAGAGCTGTGGGGGAGATGGCCGCGATCGTGCTGGGGGCGGAGGGGAGTAGGCCAAGATCGCACCCATCTCTTCCTCCCCCAGCGCGCCGTTTGTACCCGTCTCTTCCTCCCCCAGTGTGCCTGCGATCACGCCCATCTCTCCCCCGACCCCCAGCGCACCAGGATGACGGGCGCGTGCCGGGATGACGGGTGCCTGCAGGGATGACAGGCATGATCGCGGTCATGCGGGGGGGGGGGCGGGAAGATGGCCACAATCTTTGTTGTTGTCACTTTGCTTCACATTTTTCTGATTTAAAAAATGGTTACAGAATGGATTAACCTTATTTACATTGAACCTTATGGGGAAATTTAACTTGGCTCATGACCAATTTGGGTCACAACCAGACTCCTGGAACGGATTAAGTTCGTGAGCCAAGGTACCACTGTAGATGCAAAGTAGATAGAGGAGGCAGTGGCAAAACATATTTAGTACATCTTATTTTTGGTCTGTCTGCCTATATCCCAGCAATAATACAGAAATAAAGATACGCAAAGAACTGGCAGGCAGGGGCACTTATTTAAGGACATTGTGTCAGATGGCCATTTCAAGCAACAAGAGAAAAGGAGATATTCCCTATGATTTATTGAAAGGAATACCATCATAAAATTAGTGGCTTTCTATTCAAATGCTTGTGGCTACAATGTTTAAATCTAAGATCATTTTTAAAGCTCTTGGCTTAAAAAGGAGCTCCAATTAATAGAATATCGGGGGGGGGGTGTTAAAAATATATAATTTTCAAAACAAGCACTTACTTAAAAATATACAGCAAGGGGCATCTTGAGAAACATCCCTACTTTCCTCACACTCAATGCAGTGTATGAGTGCATCTCAAAAAGATAAATGTTCCTTTTTTTTCTTTAGAAGCACCTTTTTTTCTTTTTTGCTTTTTCTATGCACATCCAAATGATCAATCAACTAAGAGTTCTTTAATTGGATGAACAGATTACTTGTAACAAGATCCAACAGTGTAATACTAAAGATTTCCATCTGGAATAATACAGAGTTCACTCAATGGTTCCAGTAAGATCTAGTACTATACACCCTGGGGAACAGGGCAATCCCCAATGGAGTGAACTGGAAAACAGTATAGAAATCAAACTATGAGTTAAGGCAGGATGACCCAGGTCTAGGTACATCATGGACTGAAATCACCTTCAGACCAGTTTAACTGCCAGAACCTCCCCTTTAAGAGTTCTGGGAATTGTGGTTTTCTCAGAGTGCTAAGAATCGCTTCTTAGAACCCCGGTTCCCATGGTCTCTTTGTGGGAGGCCGTGGAAAATAGTTTTCAATCCATCCACCCTTTATCCTAACAAACGTATTGTGGGATGAGCCTTCATGCATCAGAACCCACTCTGTGTTTATTATTCCAGTCACTGATTGATATCCCAACTTTCAGGATACGAACCCTTCCAAAGCAGCTTCCAAGCACAATAACCAAAAGGAGTATGATCGCCATAAGACAATAGCAACATAACGATTCATGGAAATGGTACACACAGCGCAGGCCGAAGAGAGAAGATAACCCGGACAGAGAGGGGATTTGAAGCGGGCCAATCCGGCCCGGGGCACTTTCTTTTTCCTCGCCTGCCTGCTTCTCAAGCACCGTGAAAAGGTGGCCCAAGACTCTGCTCGGCCCTGCGGCAACAACCCAGCACGGCTCCCCTGAGGAGCGTACACCCAGTTGGAATACGCTGCATCCACGTCGAGGGGGGCAAGGCTCCGTCTGGCTTTAGCCTTCGCCCAACCTGGCGCCCTCCTGAGGGATGGAGTCTACAACTCCCAGCATCCCCCAACCAGCACGGCTGAAGTCCCAACCGTTCAGGAGGGCGCCGAGTGGGCGAAGGTGGCGAGTCTGACCTAGCGTAAGAGATTTAGGGCGCGCGGCGAAAGGGAGGGCCCGGGCGAGGAGTCGGAAGACGGCTCCAGCCCGCGATCAGCCAGGTGGAGAGCGGCGGCTTCGCCGGGCGGCCGCGCCAAAGCCTCCCGCACGTCTCCCTCCACAGTTTGGCCGCCACTGCTTTTACGCACCTCAGGGCCGCTCGGACCTCGACTGCTGCTGCTGACGGCGCTGGGTGGGTGGCGGGACCCGCCCCATCTCCCTCGCCCGCGCGCGGCCAAACCCCGGGCGCGAGGCGCAGAAACCCCATCGCCGCCGCTTTGGAACCCCAAGCGGCCTCGGTCGCTGAAACCCCGAGATAATAGGCTGATTGTGTGGAAGAGTCACACGCTGTTGCAAGCTTCCGGGTTAGCATCAGCTGACATTCTCGTGGTTTCTTCAGCGGAAGTGAGAACTGCTCATAGAAAACAGTGAAGTTGCCCGCGGCTGTGTTTGGACAGGAGCGTGATCTACCGAGAGTAAAATGCTCAGAGATGAAATTTAGAAATTTTTCAAATAGCAAGACCTATCTGAAAGCAAACTCCACTAAACACAATCAGACTTGCGCAACCAGGCATTGCCTATAACAGAACTTGGCCTACGCACGTGGTTGACATGGAGTGGCCTTGACTGAAGTTTTAGCCCGAACCCCAAACCTAGTTTCCGCCCCGCCTTTAATTGACACGCACGTGTGGTAAAGAAAATGGTACTCGTTATTCCATCCCAAAGGAGAGGAAAAGGAGCGGAAGAGCGTCAAATACAACCGAACAGTCCCATTTTTCAACCTTTTATCAGCACTCTTTAACTTTTCTATCTCTGTGGCCTCCAGCCCGCTCCTTGTTTAGTAGTGCGCATGCACCTCATACGGACGGATGGGGTTCTCTTCTACCGCTCAGCGCTTCCCCTTTGCCCGAGAAATGTAAAGGGAGGGGAGGGTTTACTCCGGCAAGCCTCAGGCTCGCTTCATTGCCTGGCTGTTCATCCTGCACGTGCAACGTTATTCCCACGTGTGCCCTCTTGCCCGGCGAACTATTGGATCTCGCTTAATGTCCCCAGACGCGGAGCGCCGGCTGGCCTTCGCATCTAGGTGTCAGCTCAACGACACCTTGAATTAAGGGCTTGTGCAAGGCAAAAGGCAAAGTGCAAATCAAATTGATTTCATGAGGTTACCGCCCTTGACTTGCTCGTGGGTTTAAGCACCAATAGACGCTATGTGACTTTGCCCCAAGCAAGCGAACCTGTACAAGATCGCACTGGACCCGTTTTCTTTCCTGTGGCTTTAAGCACCTTCGTGTGTCTGCACTTTCAGATCATATGAGTGGTTCAAACAATGTTTACACCATGTGTACTTTTTTAAAATTGAGGCTGCAATCCTATGCTCGCCTGCATGGGAGCAAACCTTATTGAAATAAGTGAATTTACTTCTGAGTAGATATGTACAGACATGTTCTGAGTGGACATATACCGTGAGAAAGTGAAAGCATCCCCTTGCCTAGGAATTAATTCCTATTAAGAATAATAGGACCTAATTCTGAGAAGATGTGTATAGGATTATACTGTAAGATCAATTACCAAAATAATTCTGGGCTAGCGCAATTAAGATTTTGAAAGTAAGGGTAAAATCTGTTGCCTTCCTACTCAGTTTATCTTCTTTTTTTCCAGGCAGAGTATTTTATTAACTGTAACAAAATGGGATCCTCAAAAAGAGGTAATCAAGAGAAAACCAATGGGGTGAACCGAAAAAGTATTTATTGATCCAATATGTCTCAGACTATTTCATATGGGCCTTCAGGTGATTCTACAAAAGATGTACCAATAATCTTTGTTATAAAACTTAAACATAGTTTATCTTGAGTCCCACAGCCCATAGCTATTTATAACAATATAAAATAATAAAATCAGAAATGGGATACTATTGTTAATCTAACATTAAGACATGTTCATAAAGCATAACTCCAACGCACTAAATATCTCTAATAGAAATAGGAGGCTCCAATTTGCCTAAATTAAATGAAAATACTTTTCTTCTTAGAAGCCATGAAATCAATATACAAGTTATCCAACATTCATGTATATCCCCAAGGGATTTAAAAATACTCACTGCAACTGAAGAAATGTTCTGATAAGATGTGTTCACTCTTCTGTCTCCTGCCCAGCAGTGAGTCAAAAAGATGAATCCAAGCTGACTGAATGGGACTTGTAGATATATTAGCTTGGCTTCATCTGCATGACTCACTGTACCATAGGAGAAGGCATGGGTTCTGTGAATAATGATAATAATAATTATTTTCTATACCTCCCAATAGCTGAAGTTCTCTGGGCTGTTCACAAAGCACATTTTTTTTTAAAAAGTATATTGTATGAAAAGTATATTAACATGTTCAAATTTAAATCCAAAATTTTAAACTGCATTTTAAACATGTTTAAAGAAGAAAAGGATTGATAAAACTATTATATTTATGTCCAGTCTTTTTTCCTTTTGTGAAGAATCCAAGGCAGCATAAATAAATGACCTTTTTATTTAAACGTCATTTTAATTGTTAATATTATTTGCTTATTTTATCTGCCCAGGGCAACTTATTTTATATTGTTAATTTGTTTTATGTATTATATTTTATGTTATGAGCTGCCCCAAGACTTCGGCGAATGGGGCGGCATAGAAATGTTTTAATAAATAAAAAAAAAATAAATAGCTCTATTTTATCCTCACAGCAACAACCTTGTGAGGTAGGCTGGACTGAGAGTCTGTGATTGACCCAAAGTTACAGACTGAACTTCATGGCTGAGTAGGGACTAGAACCTGGACCTCCCAGATCCCCAGTCTACACTCTAACCTCCACACCACACTGGCTTTCTAGAAACATGTTAAGTTTTATAACAAAAGTTATTTATATATCTTTTGTAGATTTTCCTGGCCAACCATATGAAAGGATTCAAAACACAGTGGATCAATAAATGTATTTTCTTCATTGTTTTCTCACTTGAAATATTCCCTTCATTCATACAAAACTTGAGAGTGCATCTGAATGATCATATGATTGATGTGAAGCTATAGTGGAATGTGCATATAGGAAGGGACCTGTTATTTGAATGCGTAAGACACATTAAGTATGTGACAAGTGCGTGCATATCAGGCCTGAAGTATAATTACAGTAATTACACAGATGCCACTGGAAACAACCATTCTTTGGCAAGCTGTAGTCACATGGCTTATCATCTTTAGGAGGCATAAATCAGCCTTCCTCAATCTGGTGCCCTCCAGATGTATTAAACAATAACCCTCTCTTAGTCCTAAATTCTATCTAAACATGATGGCCAAGGCCAAAGAGAACAGGAGACCTCTATGTATAATTATTTTCTTCACACATGAAAGGTAGAATTGAGCCAGGGATACATTTAATGGGATCACTTGCATCAAAAGCCACATCTACATAGCACATCTACTTGTGCTGGATCAGACCAAAGGAATATCTAGTCCAGCTTTCCATTCCCATGTGCAACTTAGGGGAAACCCACACGTAGGCCATGAGTGCAAGAGCATTCTTTACTCGTATTTTCCAACAAGTAAATTCAAGGAACATACTCCAACACAGGAGGTCATATATCACAATTGCTGGTTTTATTCAACATTTTATTCATTCCCTTCAAATGAAAATTTAACCTCCTTTTAACCATGTCCAAATTGAAGCCTCAGCAGTTAATCCCATAATTTTAAATATCCAGTGAGATAGTTAAAATTATCTGTTCCGAATCTCTCAACATTCAGCTTGATGAGATGAACATAGGTTCAAGTATTATATGTGAGATTTACTTCAGCATTTTTCCACAAATATACAAATTACATTTTAGAGGATTGTGGTCACTGCTTTCAATTGGTTTAGAAGCATTTATATATAACTAGTCTACCTAACTCAGCATTCTGTTTTTCAGAAAGACTGACCAGAACCAAGACATGATAGCAATAGCTTTGTTACCCTAGCAAAGTTAAAATCATGCTTTTCACGTGGTACGCCACTCCTCTCCTACACTTTTCCAGTGGTATTTGGACAAGGAAGTTTACTGGGGGATTCAGGGTCAGTTGCTGACTCTAACCCATCACATGGGATTGTGGTGAAGATAACATGGAGGATGGGAAAGGGGCTGTATAAGATGGCTTGGGTTCCTTGAAAGAGGAAAATAATAATACTATGTAAATAATAAACACACACAAAAGAGAAAGAACAATTTCAAAATCCACATTTGTGTAATTTCTTTATTAGGCCAATCAAAGAACTTAAAAGGCTCGGTCTTTAAAGACCTCTTCATCAGGTCAGATATTACAAAAAGCAGGGACTCCTGATAGAAAAGGGGAAAAACTTGATTTGATGGTGCCATCAGAGTGAATTGTATCTAATGCTAGTCCTGCTTAGAGTAGACTCATTAAAATGGGTCTTAAGTCAGACTAACATTGGATATAACCAGTTGTCTGCATTTTCAGAGTCCAAAGACAAAGTGAGGAGGTTTGCTGGTGTTTACATCAGACCTTGCAAATCATGTGGTGCTTACTTATGTCTCCCACTTTGTCCTAAGACCCTGAACATGAAGACCCTGTGATATTGCCATCAAGTTGGTTTCCCTTCCCCACCATTCCCCCCAGCTTACTTCTGTAACATCTTCCCTGACGAAGAGCTCTGGAGATCTCACAGACTTGTACATGTTCTATGGTCTTTTGGTTGACCTAATAAAGATATTATACTAATATAGATTTTGGAATTCTTCATATATAGTTGCTAAAGGAGTAACTGCGTTCATCTGTCGTGGAAATTACAACAGACAGTTTCATGAAGCTCAGGTTGAAAAATTCGTTCAGCCAGAGGGCCTTCTTCCCTATGGAGAAGTATTCAGGAGGAACATTCCAGTGGAGGGTGAGGTTTCAAAGTAAAAAAAAATGGGGCTAAAAATACCAACATCCTTTACCCTACTGCCACTAAGTAACTAAGCCTTAGATTTATTTCACACACACACACACACACACACACACACACACACACTCCCCAAACTGCCCCATCTAGCCTGGTTTAAACCCTTGTTTGCAAAGAAACCCTACTTTTGATTTCTCTCAAAAGTAAGTGGTACCAAAAAGTGGGAGTGCGCTTTTCCACATTCCCAAACACCCAGTGCCTCAGGAATGGGTGGAAAAGATGGGAACACTTAAGGAATGAAAGAAGGATATATTTAACCTACCCTTTTTTTCAGAAGCAAAGCTCACTCATGGCTTTGCTTTGAATTGACAGCTCGCCCTTTGAGAGATGCCATGTCAAAGCAAGGTTAACCAAAAAAGTGTTTGGAGCCTCTTCGGGTTAATATTCAGGGTTGATATATGATAGGGATGAAAGGATGATTTGAAACAAGGAAACAGGAAGAGTGAAAATGCAACAAAGAAAATTCCTTAGCCATAGTGGGAGGGGGCCAGGATCAGATAGCAGGTGGGAATTGGCACATAGACAAATAGCAGTACCCTTGCTCAGTGACCTCATGGATATTAACTAACAACCCCTGCATAGAAAATAAGCTCCTTATAATGCACATGGGGTGGATGAAGTGGAAGGGAAGAACAGGTATTGGAGTGACATGGAACAGGTGGATGGAAAAGATTGTAACCACCTAGTACCTCAGCAAATGAGGGAGAGGAGGAGGGGAAAAGAGGATGGGGAAAGGGCATAAATATGAGATGTGAACATGTGCTCGGGGAGTTGAAAAGGGGAAGAAAACTCTCCAACTCCCTATATTGCAATAAAGTTTCAAAAAAAGAACTCTTTGTTGCCTGGAATATTTTCACAGGGAAAGAAAAGAGTGTTAATAACAGTACATTTTGATAACAGGAATTCTCAAGGTCATTGCCCTGATGAGGCTTCCCATTTTCCAACCCACAGAACTGCAGCTCCCTGCAGCTGCACAAGTTCCAATTAAACAAAAAAAAATTAATTTTTTTTTAAAAGCACACATTTGAAGTGCAAACTTCTTTTTAAAGATGGCGAAATAATGATAGCCTCTCTGATGTGCGGCTTGGGGCTGTTAATGTCACCTTGGAGATAGTAACAGTAATCTGCCCCATCAAAAATCACCCACTGACAAAAGATCAAAAGTCCCTGAATATCCCTGTACAGAAGAGGGTGTTGAAATTTTGGAGGCTCTCACAAGAGGGAGGGCACTATTTTGCTTAATTGTTCATAAATATGTCTTTATGAACAATAAAGGAGGGAAGGATGTCAGTGCCCAAGGTGAAAAGTGGAAGACAAATAGTATCTGAGTGAGAGCCAAGCCATTATCTATAATAGTTTGGGTATTATGGCCTCTGTCTATCTACTTACCTATCTATCTATCTATCTATCTATCTATCTATCTATCTATCTATCACGTTTCTATCATTCCTGGGTCAAAAAAGTTCCCAAGTAATGAATAAATGTAGACCATTCCTGTGCAAGCTCACAATTTGGCACAGCTGACAAGGAAACCGGAAGTGGAAGGAAACAGGAAGAGATGAATTTATTAAAACTGGTGGAATGGCAATTTGGCAAAGCTTCTTCTACCTCTAATCTCCCTTGCCTAGGCCTGCTGCCATGGCTTCTGCTATGGCTGCTGCTGGCGGCAACTGGGGAGGGGAAGAGGAGCCTTCGTACAGGGCTGATAGGCTTCCTTTGGCATGAATTGGTGCAGGCATCAGAACCTCTCCCCCTTTGAGTATAATAAGCATGTGCAGAAAGCTCTTTGCAGTGCAGTCTTGTGCATCTCTGCCCAGAGGCAAGCCTCTGAGTTCAATATGACTTACTCCAGTTAAGCATATGTAGGATTACACAAGTTGTCTTTAATTATATTAATATGGGAATCAAATGTTCTTGGATCAAAAGTTGTTGTCTTTCTGAAATGAGTTGCTTTGAAAGTAATGTAATTTACTTAGTAGTTATATGTTTTGTCAACCTGTTTACATTTGAATGAAGGCACATACTAATAGAGTAGTTGCTCTAGAAATATCTTTTTTTAAAAAGTTGATGTTTAGAACGATGCTACTGAGTAGCATTGCTACAGATTGCTGTTTCTTATTGTCATTTAATTTGTTGTAAACTGCTGTGACTGCCATTTTAGTGCTGAAAGGCAGTGTACTAAACAAATAGTCTGGCTTGATATATGTGAAAAATAGACAAATAATCTTACACTCTTTTACTAAGGTAGAGAATAAGTAAAAATAATGAAGGAAGTGGTATCAAGAGGAAGCTTAAAATAA